AGATGATCCTTACTGGACCTCTAGGGAGAACAGTTTTGAACTGATAGAGCTATCCAGTATAAATAAAGTTAGTTTAGTTTAGGTTTCCTCCTGTAGTAACACTGGATCAATAAGAGATGATCCTTACTGGACCTCTAGGAAGAACAGTTTAGAACTGATAGAGCTATCTAGTATAAATAAAGTTAGTTTAGTTTAGGTTTCCTCCTGTAGTAACACTGGATCAATAAGAGATGATCCTTACTGGACCTCTAGGAAGAACAGTTTAGAACTGATAGAGCTATCCAGTATAAATGAAGTTAGTTTAGTTTAGGTTTCCTCCTGTAGTAACACTGGATCAATAAGAGATGATCCTTACTGGACCTCTAGGAAGAACAGTTTAGAACTGATAGAGCTATCCAGTATAAATAAGTTAGTTTAGTTTAGGTTTCCTCCTGTAGTAACACTGGATCAATAAGAGATGATCCTTACTAGACCTCTAGGAAGAACAGTTTAGAACTGATAGAGCTATCCAGTATAATTAAAGTTAGTTTAGTTTAGGTTTCCTTCTGTAGTAACACTGGATCAATAAGAGATGATCCTTAGTGATTCCTTACTGGACCTCTAGGAAGAACAGTTTAGAACTGTAAAAGTATCTTAAAAATGATGAGAAATATCCTTGTATAATGTCTTTTGTGCTATTCCTTTTGTTTTAGAATCTTTGTCAAAGCCAGTTGCTTCGCGTAGCGGTAAAGCATCTCATGGCGAGCGATTTCCAATTTTGTATTTTACCTTCTGAAGATAAACAGGAATTGGTAAGAAAAATGTTTACCATCGCGTGATTTAGTTTACTGAAGTTGTTATCATATTGTAACAAGGTTGATGAGGCGAACAGACTCGCAACAAGTTGTTCCAACAAGTCTGATATCGTCTGCACGTAACAAGTTGTTAACAAGTTGATGACAACAAGCTCGTAGCAACTTGTTACGAACAGCCTGTATTAGTCTTGTTGGAACAACTTGTAGCAAGTCTGTTGCCGTCATCAACCTTGTAATAAGATGATAACAACTTGTTCCAGACTTGTCACAACAACTGGGAACAAGCAGTGCGAACACATCCTGATATCGACTTCACAACAACCTTGTTACGACTTGTTTTCAGATCTATAACAACTTGCGCGTTTTTACCTGTGCACAAGGCAATGTCATATTTTAAAAATATAAACGCTTTAAATCTTTCAGGGGCCTCTCTCAGTGACAATCGTTGATAAACCAGGACCCCTGACAACAGCTTTAGCAAAATTTCTACAAGATATGAAATCCGAAGGGAAAAAGCATGTCATCAGTCCTGGGTATTTATTTACAGAAATTTGTAAAAAGTAAGTGCGAAAATGGTCGATTAAAAAGTAGGTTTCAGAAAAGGTTATCTCGCAGCGGTTATAGTTCTGCTGCAGCGCTCGAAGTAGAGAAAAGATATGGCCTGCCAGTCTAAAATTGTTTGGCAGGTGAAAGAAATTTTTAGCCTGCTATTTTTATTCACTGAACCGCCAAAATGGCGATGTCTCATATGAGTCTCATTGTAAAAATCAATGTGTTCATGGTATGCATTTTTATTATTTTTAAACTTGTCCATTTCGTGCTTGTGATGTTACTCTGAGTGTATATCCACACCGGGCAAGCTTGAAAAATATGCCTGGCCACGGTGGGAATCGAACCTACGACCTTTGGAGTACTAGCCCAATGCTCTGCCAACTGAGCTACGCGGTCTGGTCGGTTCGAGTATGTGTGATATTTCGGAACGGAATCTAGTTCCTTCGATACCAATATAATCTAATAATCATGATTTTTTCTATTTCACTACAATAAAATTGGATTTACATTTCAAATATAAACGTATTTAGTCAACTAAATGATCTTATGACTGGTATATATGAGTTGTGGTAAGCAAATGAAATGAATATCTATAGAATTTTACCTGCCAATTTTTTTCACTTGGCAGTTCAAATTTGTTTTTGCCTGCCATTGGCAGCCCGCTATTTCGAGCCCTGTAGTTACCAGATTGAGAGATCTTGTATTGTGTGCAGGTTACAATACCCTTGAACTATTAATAGTTCAATCTAGGAGATGCCAATGAAAACTATTTATTTTTCAGAGCTCCAAGGTTTAAAGGCTTCCGGCAACAAGACAGTCAAGAATTACTACGATATCTTCTCGACTCTGTTCGTACGGAAGAAATTAAGGTTTGCTTTCGTGAAAAACGTTAGGGGCGAATCCAGCATCATCTGCAAGAACGGGTGCAGGTTTTCCATGGGGTGGTGCATGAGGGAGTCTTACTGCCCATTCTCCTCTGCAGTCTGCAACGCTACTATCCCAACATTACCATTATTTGAGATGGTCGAATCTGCATGTTCGCCGTTCTGTTACGTTTTACATTATCTTTTGTTTATAAAGTTTATATCAGCTTTTTATCACGTATGCGTGACTGGACAGTTGCTGTAGCACAGTACAGTAAATTTCCTTGTTAAAGTACAGTATATTTTGAAAATATATGGCTGTATAACAACCTCGACATGCTTACATACTTAACTATGATATTTAACTGAAGCATTCTGAGTATTCTCTCGTGAGCTCACAAACTCAATTAAATTATAAACACACACAGACATATACAAACGCGGAGGAAAGGTGATATAGTTTTTATGGTCGTAAGTGTATGGTTAATTCCTTAATCAATGTTTGTCGATGTTATGTTTAGGGTGTGAAGCGAGCACTCTTGCTTTCGTTTGGTGTGAAGAACGCCGCAAATAAGGAAGGAGTAAGCGCTGACAAGGTGGATGAAGATGTTCACGAAAAGTTACGAGGTGTATGTCCTTAGATTTTGTTCTTGAGATTTGCAGGTAGTTTATAGTTTAGGTTTCCTCCTGCAGTAACACTGGATCAATAAGAAGTGATCCTTACTGGATCTCTATGGAAGAACAGTTTAGATCTGATAGAGCTATCCAGTATAAATAAAGTTAGTTTAGTTTAGGTTTCCTGCTGTAGTAACACTGGATCAATAAGAGATGATCCTTACTGGACCTCTAGGAAGAACAGTTTAGAACTGATAGAGATATTCAGTATAAATAAAGTTAGTTTAGTTTAGGTTTCCTGAAATTACGGTTGCCATTGAGTAATTTTAAAAAGAACAAGGAGTTCTTACTTATACATCGCCAAAAACCGGAACTTAATCACGGAACTAGAGCCTCTAAGGAACTTGTGATATTTAATTAGCGTAATTTGATCCGCTTAACTTGTAAATATATATCTCAGTATTTTTCAATAGCGTCATTCCTGATGATGACTGAAACCTAGTCGAAACGTTGAATAAAATGTTAACTATATTCGGAGTGTTTATTGTTTTGTTCTTTTTAGACACAGGGCCCCTATGGATACCAGCCTTCGTGCTGAAAGGGCCACCCTGTTTAAATAAAGTTTTTCCATTCCAATGCTGTTTATTTCCTTTGAGTCGCGAACCAGTTTCACCAAGTCATCGCCAAATAAGAATTTTGAGTTTGGCGGAACAGTTGCATGGCAAATTTTTTGAAATTCTGGTTTCAACGCTGGTTTAATCGACTCCTGTCGCATGGACATTACATCAGCATTCATATGCCCCAACATTGCAATGAGGTTCACTGCGATGCGAAGTAATGCCTCGCGGTCATTGCCTTGTTCTTGGTCAATGCCGAAGGTTGATTTTTGGCGCTTAAAGTTTCCGCCATTTGAAGCATGGCAAAAACCACTTTTTGGACATTTTGTTGCATTCTTGACAGTCTAAGATCTGTTTTCTTTTTGTGTTGGCTGATTTGAGACCATATTTCTGGATTAATGCGGCTAACTCGCATAGCTTCACAGTTTAGCGGTTGTTTGTATTTCTCGTTTATTTCCTTGATTTTGTCAGGACTTAATTTTTCAGTCCAGTGATTAATAGCTATAGTTGCTAGTTTTCCCCCCACTGTGGACCCTAGACTTTTGTCTTCACTGAACTGTTGTTCCAGTTCTTGAAGCAAATCGTCGTCGGTAAATCAGGGCTTTCGTCTTGTTGTTGCAGCGTATCGCTGTCATTCAGTAACTGCCTTACCTTGTCATCACTGGCCGTTACGCTAAGACTGTCCTCATTTTCATGAGCTGAGCGACGGCGTTTTGCTGTGTGTTCATCTCGCTCCGACTCAGAGGAGTATTGATCCTCTTGTTGTCGTTTTTTGGCCTTTGCAGTTTTCCCGCCAGAATCGATGTGCTGCCATATTTGGCCCAATATTGCAGCCATGTTGGCCATATTTTCGTTCATTGTGGCCAAAGTTTTAGCGAATTTTTCATTAGAAACATCGCTGTTCATGCTCTGTGAGCTTGTATGTTGCCCATGCAGGGCAGATTGTTCGTCCTCCCATAGTTTGGTCGTTCGTACTTGTTTTGAACAAACCTGCTATAAATATGGAAAAAAGAGTCAAGGAATTGCAAATTATTGAAATTAGGGAGCGCTACTTACAGTTTGAGTGTGTCTCCCACTGAATATTTATATATTTTCTTCAGAGCTCTTCAGAACATGTTCGCCGGTCGACAAAGCAAACCATGCACTGACTGACAAGCAATGCGCATGCTTCTCATGGTACTCCGTAGTGACGTAGCTGATGATGAGATTAATGTAAATATGTAATGTCAAAGGGGGTATTCAAAGTCTATATTATAAATTTCATAAGCATACAATAATGCTATGCTCGTATGTTGTTAAAATGTTGGCACACATATAATATACACAATTGTGATAAAGATGTCATTCTCATATATCTACATTTCAACTATATTTTAACCCATTAACATGCGATCACTCAGTGAGCATATAGAGTAATAGTATATGACCTAAGCATGACAGTTCTTTGGAGGGTATAGCTCTGTTGGAGCAGATGCACGCTGCATTCAGCAAGGCTGTAACCATGAACTCAAGACAATTTGGCTGGCTAGTAGGTACTTAAGCTACTGACCAATGACTATCCCAGCTGTGCAAATCTCAATGATGCTGTGAATTCACCTCTCCAATGCCATCCTCCAGTGCAGCTGGATTCGAGGCACAAACCACCTCCAAAAGCATTCCCAGCCCCCAAGTGTAACTCAGACCAACCGAAATTGTGGATCCCATTGGTGCTACTTTTGGTGGAGCAGCCACAGCAGGAACATTACTCTTCTTGGATTTAGCTTTAGCAAACTGGGCAAGAAGGTCATCAAAATCCTCAGCACAATTCCCAGCACAATTCCCAGCACAATTCCCAGCACAATTCCCAGCACAATTCCCTTTTGACAAATTCAAGAACAAGCTGAAGAACAGCTATGTCTTCGCATAGGTGAACTCAATGGGGGTCGGATTGTCACTGTTACCACCTTGCTGGCGAATAGAACCAAAAAAGTTCTTTATCGGATCGTTGTTTAACCCTTCTAGTGAGAAGAAATTTGAAGGCATGGTTTTGATGAAGCTGATCCCAAATCGAAAGAATGGCTTTCATGGTAACCAACCATCCTTTGAGACAGTTGATCCTACCAGTGACTTCTTCATTCCTTTGAAACACTTTCAACTCCTTAACTCATTAAGTTGCAGACACTCCATCGCTACATCTCCAGCATGCCAGCAGCCTAGGAATTTCCCAGGGTGCCCTAAACATAATAAAGATTTTGGAAATAGAACCAGTACCAACAAAGTGGCAAATCAGGCACTAACAATTGTTCCAAGGAGCATCTCTGGAAAGTGGAAACAGCCACTTGGCTATGCCTTGTTTAATGGAGGATGTCTGAGGGAGGAAATGGAGGAGTTATTAAAAGTGCCATCGTGCTTCTTTTGCAGGAAGCCATTAAATTAATGTACTTTCTAAAATTCTAATTTAGTCGCTTTTTTGGTCTCGTTGTTCACACTTATTTATCATGGAATTACTTCGCTTGAGCTCTTTTAATAATATCTGCAAGATACTTTGCTATTTGGTGAAATAAAAGCTATATTTTTAGCAGTTTATCTTTTGAAAACTGCATGTGCAACAAAGTGTCACCAATGTGTTTACTCTCGTCTGACAAACAACCAAAGATGAAATACTTTATTTCACTCTTTTATAGCAATCTAAAATGCCTAAATGTTAGATTATTAATTTTATTTCAGCATACATATTATATTTTTATACAATTGTCCTTGAAAAGGACTTATTTCAAACTAGAGACAGATTTCAAACTAAAGTCAGATTTCAAAAGAAACCGCCTGTCTGACATTTTACAGCAACCTACATTGGCGCGAACAACATTTTAGCAACAAAACCGTTGTTTTCTCAACAGAAACAAAAGGAATTTCAGTTAAAATTCTTACCTGATGAATATTCAAAAGTGTTTATCTCTTTTTGACGACTTTCAGTGCTCCTAATAGCGAAATAAAGTCTTTTGTTTTGTCACCGCACACTGCGTTTGAAAATGCCGGCTGTCAAAGTCTGAATTAAAAACACCTCAAATATTTTAAATTGTTCTCACCTTTTTCATCCTTTGTTTATATTTTAATTTAGTAATTTTTGTACTTTGTGTTTTTCCAAACATATTTGAGGTATTTAAACACTGCGTTTTTGGGTTATGGAGTTTTTGGACTTGAACAACAAGTTCTTAAGTTCAAGTTCTCCATTGTAAAACTAGATGTCCTGAGTGTGCCTGAGCTATGCCCAAGCAAATTTTTATAGCGTTTGATTATTTTGTAATTTATACCCTACAAGATGAAAACTAATTTGAATATAAATGTGTACCAATCCAGGAATAAAAAAATATTTGGCCATTTATGTTGGGTTATGGAATTATTGCCCTTCAGATTTTGGGTGTCATGAAGAAACAAAATGTCAGGGACTTAAATAAATTTGTCCAAAAATCTAATGATATATTTAAGTGTGGGAGCTCATTTAAAATAAAATTGATTAATCATTTATCATTTTAACCCACTGCCAAATTTCAAGGTTTTTTATAACATTGATCTTGAGATATAGGTATTTTTGTAAAAGCAGTTGACAGAAGTTGGCAGTAACTAAAATTTGCCATTTTCCTTACAACTTGGAGGTGCCAATGTTCCAACAGTCTGCAACTTAATGAGTTAAGGAGTTGAAAGTGTTTCAAAGGAATGAAGAAGTCACTGGTAGGATCAACTGTCTCAAAGGATGGTTGGTTACCATGAAAGCCATTCTTTCGATTTGGGATCAGCTTCATCAAAACCATGCCTTCAAATTTCTTCTCACTAGAAGGGTTAAACAACGATCCGATAGACAACTTTTTTGGTTCTATTCGCCAGCAAGGTGGTAACAGTGACAATCCGACCCCCATTGAGTTCACCTATGCGAAGACATAGCTTCTTCAGCTTGTTCTTGAATTTGTCAAAAGGGAATTGTGCTGGGAATTGTGCTGGGAATTGTGCTGGGAATTGTGCTGGGAATTGTGCTGGGAATTGTGCTGGGAATTGTGCTGAGGATTTTGATGACCTTCTTGCCCAGTTTGCTAAAGCTAAATCCAAGAAGAGTAATGTTCCTGCTGTGGCTGCTCCACCAAAAGTAGCACCAATGGGATCCACAATTTCGGTTGGTCTGAGTTACACTTGGGGGCTGGGAATGCTTTTGGAGGTGGTTTGTGCCTCGAATCCAGCTGCACTGGAGGATGGCATTGGAGAGGTGAATTCACAGCATCATTGAGATTTGCACAGCCGGGATAGTCATTGGTCAGTAATTGGTCAGTAGCTTAAGTACCTACTAGCCAGCCAAATTGTCTTGAGTTCATGGTTACAGCCTTGCTGAATGCAGCGTGCATCTGCTCCAACAGAGCTATACCCTCCAAAGAACTGTCATGCTTAGGTCGTATACTATTACTCTATATGCTCACTGAGTGATCGCATGTTAATGGGTTAAAATATAGTTGAAATGTAGATATATGAGAATGACATCTTTATCACAATTGTGTATATTATATGTGTGCCAACATTTTAACAACATACGAGCATAGCATTATTGTATGCTTATGAAATTTATAATATAGACTTTGAATACCCCCTTTGACATTACATATTTACATTAATCTCATCATCAGCTACGTCACTACGGAGTACCATGAGAAGCATGCGCATTGCTTGTCAGTCAGTGCATGGTTTGCTTTGTCGACCGGCGAACATGTTCTGAAGAGCTCTGAAGAAAATATATAAATATTCAGTGGGAGACACACTCAAACTGTAAGTAGCGCTCCCTAATTTCAATAATTTGCAATTCCTTGACTCTTTTTTCCATATTTATAGCAGGTTTGTTCAAAACAAGTACGAACGACCAAACTATGGGTTAAAGGCAGCTAAAAAAAAACTTTTGTTAGAGAATTTGCAATGTACTGTAGTATATAACTATGATGTAAAAGTAGAAAATAAATTCAGTTTGAAAATACTAGCTTATGAGTTATGTTTAGTTAACTGTTTTATATCACCTCTTATGACAATGCACATACCAACCTCGCAAACAAGGGCCTCCACACCCGCGGCGGGACGGAGACCCTTGTAAAGGCTGGTCACATGACCTCCCAGATTCTGGGAGGTAAATCAAATTATACTGAGGGAGGGGTGGTCGAGGAGCGGGTTTGTAAATTTCTCATATTTGGGGAAATATTAAACAAATATTGTTTTGATTCTCGTGCAAAAGATAACGTTTCGTGGCGTTCTGAGATAGAAAAAATCATGTATTTAGCACCTTCATTTTGTTGGTAAATATCGAATTACAACATGGCCACATGTGCTCAGGTCAAATATCACAAAATGTGTTTTTATTCTGTCGCTGATGGCTGCAAGAGAAACACCGAAAAAGCACTACTTCAAAAGCACCACTGCAGAAGTCTATAGTTCCTCTTGTTGTCTTTGTAAAGCTGTTGTTGACAAAAATCATTGTAAAGATTTGTTTAAGTCTTCTAATCGAACTGTATTAATTATGGCAACAATTTGCCTCAAGACAACAGTCTACCGCATTTGATATGTCGTCCATGCGAAAGAAGGCTTACTAACGCAATCACGTTCAAGAGTGTGATTACTAAAACGCAGAAATCTTTAGAGCAAGAGATCCGTTCAAAATGATGTCTAGAATTATCTCCGTCAGTTGTTCAACCATCTACTTCTAGAGTGTGTGCGAGTGTCAGTTCCTTGCCGACTTCTGCTGCCTCTGGTCGCAGAAGGAGTTTGGAATTTACTTAATCTTTTTCTGCCACATCGGGGGTAAGTTTCTTAAATCTACTTGTATTAAATGCGCAAAAAAAGCACGATTTAACCGCTATTGTATGGAATGCGAATTTAATGGTTTGATATAGAATGCGCGATTGTAAAACGTTTTCCAAAACCCCGAAACTTACAGTAATTGATCACACAATGAGCACATTCATACACAATGAGAGTATTCATTCTAGTTTAATAACTGTTATTTAGTCCCTCCAGCTGTATAAATGTAAAATGAAATGGTAATATATGAATAAGTGTGTTGATTATTAAATAAACCCTGTGTAAATTCATACATAATTTATGAAGACAAATACTGTGTTACCGTATGGTATTACATTACATGTGGCAAAATGTATGACATTCAAGTATTTACAGTAACTACCCTTTTTTATCAGAACCAGTGAAATTTGCCCAGGCTTAAGTGTTCCTATTTTTTTCCATTTTAAGGCCAGCAATGCTCTTATTAAGTTTGTTCTTATAAAAAAAAGCAGCCATGTACATGTGTGCTTACTACAAGTTTACTACAAGCATTTAAACAATAGAGTTGAGTGAAACAGCACAGCCTCTATTATATACCATTTCATTCTTATCCACCTCTGTATACAAATATTGTGTAGTATTTAGACTTCTGATGCAACATCGATATAATGCATAAATAATATGAGACTTTACATTGTGCCACTGAAAGATCATATTCCCTTGACCCCAATCCAGGCAGCCAATGTTTATGTTTTGCATGTTTGCATGCTCTCAATCCTAAACATTACTTACTATATATAACAACCTGCATGCATGCAAACATGCAAAAATAATTCTCTGCAATCAAGTATCTGTACCCTCTAAAGAAAATACAAGATCACTGTATCTTAAGATAAAGTATAATTTCAGTTATTGTGTTTTTTTAGACAGTCAACCGGCCTTCTCCTTCCAGTATTGAAACCACTCAGGCAATCAATGTTATGTTGAAGGCAAATGAAGAGTTGGTTGAAATTAGCAGAAGTGAGCCATCAGTATTGCGGAAAAGATCATATGAAGGAATGTCTGATGAAAATTGGATGACTGAAGTGATTAATGAACTTTCTACTTGCTGTCCAGTTGTATCAGACATATTGTCAAAGCTACTTGATATCATGTAGAAAAGAAAATTCCAGCTGCATGTTTAATATATGGTATCATCATGTTCATGAGATGCCATGAGTTAAGTCAAATACAGCGGATAAACACGATTCTGCTTACTCAAGGTCATGCTTCTACTAATGTAAGTAGTAATTGTTTATTTATGTTAATACTTTACAATTGCTTAGCATGATTGTCTGAAGTAACCATTTAACATTTGATGTTCTCCATGCAATTACTTATATACTTCAGCATTTTATTTGTCTTAATTATGTGCATACAATCTTATAATTGCCCAGTTTAAAGTCTTACAGATACACATTAATAAGTTACATTGTGTAACTTCCCTTACCAGACTGACAGATATGTGACAGATATATGTCACAGTTCTGTAAAATATCTGCAAAATATATGTACGAAAGTATCTGTCACATATCTGCAACATATAGGAATTTGGCCCCATAACATATCTGTCACAGTTATGTGACAGATATCTGTCACAGTTATGTGGCAGATATCTTTCACAGTTATGTGGCAGATATCTGTCACATATCTGCAACATATAGGAATTTGGCCCAATAACATATCTGTCACAGTTATATGACAGATATCTGTCACATATCTGCAACATATAGGTATTTTGCCCAATAACATATCTGCCACAGTTATGTGACAGTATAGTTTCCCAACAGAGAAAATTATCTGCATATTATCTACCAAACAGATACGTATAAACATAACTGCCACCAAGTGAGATTTATCTCTTGAATAAAACTATTTCCTCGTCTGCAACATCACGTTGTTGCAACTGTACCTCTGTCATGTTCACTTGAAGCCATAAATAATTTAATACGAAGAAATATTAGATCAGAATAGTAAATGTATTTATCAGTAAATATATAATTATATCTTACATATATAGATAAATTTAAGACTGTACAATCAATTTTTCTCCAGGGGCCAGTTGTCCAAGGCTGGATTAGCTTAACCCTAGGTTTACCTAAAATTCAAAGCAAACTTGCTTGTCTATAAATTTGGAAAGATTTTTCAGAGATCTTGTCTGGATCGATAGGAGTTTTCTTCTCTGAAGTTTTGAAATAAACAGGCTAAATTTTAACCCAGGGTTAGCGCTAGTCCAGCATTGAACAACCGGCTCCTGGGGCAGAGTAATTACACTTGCTATAACCTACACTAATTTAAAATTTCCTAATATTATATAATTATATTTATATACATGGCCAGAAATAAATGAGTACCTAAAAGTCATTAATTGTTAATGTCAAGTCTCACTCAGCTGGTTTGCTTTTAGTTCAAGCCCCACGGCATTTGTCCTGTACCGTGTACTGCATAGCAACTGTCTTTCCATAGACTGTATCATCCAGAACAAAAGCTGAAAAAATAGGAATTGATAAAATCAGATTTATTTAATATGTTTTAGATTTAATTAGCATTGACAGGAAGAATAATCTAGATAGTGTTAGGCCAAATAGGGGATGCCCTTAGGGTAGCCATGTCTAATGGGTTACAAGGTATATATTGGCTTATAATTAACCATCTACTAGGTTACATTTGATTTAATACTATTTTTGTAAAGTATATTATAGGAGACATTAGGGCTTACTAATGAGTTATGTCAAAGAAATCACTGACCCTAATCTTTTTATCTGAAGTTTGGAAAGAGTTAGGAACAATTTTTCATACCCAGTTTGTGGCGTTAGTTTTGTACTAGCCATATAATACTTTTGTTTGTGGAAACACCATGTAGTTGTGTTTCCACAAACAAAAGTAT